TGAACAATCCTTGATTCCTTGTTCTTTCTCCCTTCAATCCATTAATAGGTTCTATAAACTCTAAACACCTTTATTTATAGCTACTACTAGCACTAATCCAAAAATTGCCAAACGAAAACAGCAACATCCTATTTTCACTAGTTCTACTCCTGCTTCCATATATACCAAACTCCATAAAGCAGAGTGAACTTTAAAAAATACAAATCAAAGCATGCCTCTCTACTTGTTTAAAAATCTTCAATGGCTTCCAATCACACCTAGAATAAATTCCAAACCCATTAACCTAGCTTTCAGAGCCCTATTCATATGGGTCTTGTCTACTTCATCACCTACCATTTTCTTCCTTATCTACTAATTCTCCAGTCATATCAACTTTTATTTATTAAATTCACAACAATTCTGTATTTGCCTCAAATCTTCATACTGCTACTCTCCTTGCCTAGAAAGCTAAGTTCACTGAACCTTGTCTGGATGGCTTTTTCTAGTCAAAAGATTTCAACTTAAGTGCTACCTTTTCAGGAAGCCTCCCTTAGCCACGTGGTATAAATTACTATCCCAATATCTTACATTAGTTCTTTGCAAAACATCTCACTAATACCTGGGTGTCCTTTGCTTGTAATTTATTGCCTATCTTCTACCATAATGCCAGGTTTTTTAGAGATCATCTCCACTTATAAAGTAAATGGCTAAGAAATACAGAGGTTACCAAGTTCTTCTCATAGTGAAAATCTATAAATATTCCTATCTAGTAGGTGCCATCAGTAACTCTGCTAATGCAATACAGCAAAATGATACATGTATGTTCCTATTTCACCTACAGAGGCACTATGAAGTTATATCAATTGTCCATATCTTCAGTTGGGTGCCATGAAAAAAAACAAAGAAATGAAATCCAAAAGAGGTATTTCACGACTTAAGTTCAAAGCTGAGTTATATAGGTTTAGGCAACTCACCTCATGTCTCTGAGCCTATGTTTCATCTGAGAAATGGCAGGTAAGAACTACATCTACTATTTGTACCTTGACAGTCTATATATCCCAAGAACATCTTCTGCACAAAAGATTCTTAAGAGGGTACAGAAAGTCTAGTTCCCACACT